TGTTTTAGGCGTCTATCCCACCTGAAGTTTTACGAGCTTCGAGCTTCCGAAAAGAGGAGGGGAGGAGCATTGATGAACCCCAAACCCCAAACTGACCAAGTTTAGAGCCAGAAAATTCCTAAATCCCAAAACCCTGAACCACAAAGTTTCATGGGCGGTGTCAACTGGGACTCTTTGTAACACACGTGGATCTGTCCATCAGGGAGACCTTCACCGCGCCGTAGCAAGGTAGATTCGGGGCCCCAGCGCTGCCCGAATTGACAGTGGTACTGTCCATCCTGGCCACATCGGCAATTTAGCGTAACCCCTCGATGCACACCGAGGAATTGGCGTGGCAGATGTAGTAGCTGTCCCTAAGGGAAATGACCAGAGGGCCAGTACTGAAGTGCTGAGCTAGCACGGTGGGCCACCGTACCCACATGCCCCGGATTGAGGGCGGGCATTCTGTAGAAGATGTTGCCATCCATTTAGGGGATCCGAACTTTGGGCCCTTAATTTGGGTCCCTGTTCTTTAACCCTTACATACACTATACATGATAAGGGCCCATACTGCGGATCCCTGTCAAGCCCTTGAAGCAAGTGCAAGGGACCATACCAAGGGCCTATGGTTCCAACCTTAGACTACCCGAAGCACTTCACTGCCAGGACCCATGAAGTCTGCACCCTAGAGGTCGGCTTAAGGGTCTAGAGACTCTTTGGGGACTTTGGGGATTCTTAGTGAGTTTAGGGTTTAGGGTTTAGGGTTTAGGGTTTAGGGTTTAGGGTTTAGGGTTTAGGGTTTAGGGCTTTAAGGTTAAGAGCACGTTTCAGTCTTCGGGGGTAAGTTCTTCTAGGGATTTCATGGGTTCTGCCCTCTGTTGAGAGGCTCTGCTGTTGGGGTACATCTTGGAGTTTAGGGTTTAGAACTAGGGTTTAAGGTCTGGGGTTTGGGGTTGAGGGTTTTTTGGCGGCTTTGGAGTGAACCACGAAGTTACCCAGTTGCCCTAACGAAGGAGCCAGAGCATCAAGTACATGGGTCGGTCCCTAAATTCGGGTCACTTTTCGGGTCCCGGGTCCCTTTTTGTGTCCCCTCTGTAGTAAAGCAAAAAAAAGACCCTAAGTTGAGAACTAGGCACAGTACTACAGATCCTTGCCACGGTCACTAGATGGGTAGTTATTGTTTATGTAGGTCTCTTCAAACAGTAAAGGTTTTATACAGGCCTCTGCAGATTGACTTCGAAAAGGGGAAGCTACTCACCTGATCTATCCTAGAATCCAAAACCCTAAACCCTAAATAGAAAGATATAGAACGGAACGGTTTGATAATCGAGTGTAAGTTCCGAGGAAGGCTGGGAACTTTACAGTTCAAGCCTTAAAGCGCAAACTTCCAAAACCCTAAACGCTGAACCTTACCTGACAAGCCCACACAAACCCTGCCCCTTTCTACGGGAACAAATAATTGCAACACATGCGCAATAAGCCCCAATAAACCCTAAACCCTAAACCCCAAACCCCAAACCCTCAACCCTAAATGCCAAACCCCAAACCCCAAACCTGCAGAGATAGACGCCCTCCACACAGCTCCGAGGCTGCTGCAATGACGGGATGTGCGGCAATGGGTGCCCGGAAGAGGCTGTCTCCCCACTCACGCTGAGGCGGCCTGGGAGGTAGGGTTTAGGGTTTAGGGTTTAGGGTTTAGAGCTTAGGGTTTAGGGTTTAGGGTTTAGGGTTTAGGGTTTAGGGTTTAGGGTTTAGGGTTTAGGGTTTGGGGTTTGGGGTTTAGGGTTTAGGGTTTAGGGATGTCAGGCCTATAGTACCCGGGTCCCCAAGAGCCTACTACCTGTCGGGGGAGGGTGGGGGGAGGGTTTAGGGTTTAGCGTTTAGGGTTTAGGGTGTAGGGTGTTTAGGGTTCAGGGCCAGTTTGGGGTTCGGGGTTTGGGCGGGGTTGAGGGTTGGAGATTGAAGGACGCCAAAGTGGAAGCGAGGAAGGCAAAGGAGGAGCCGAGGACGCGGCTGTAGGATCCATTGCCCCCACTTTACCCGGGTTCTTAGTGGGGAATGGGGGAATTAGGTACCCTACATCATCCCTTAAAGGGTATATATATATATATGTATGTACCCCCCTCCCTCTCTCTACACCCTGAACTACTGAGCTCTGAGCGTCCACCAGGGCGCATGCAGCTCAAACGGACCTCGGCCCAGTCTTCGTTCGCTTCAGGAAAGGCGTTCCCCAAGATGTACATCAACGAACTGGACCCAAAGAGTAATCTGGGAATACAAAGGGGTGCCCTTGTGGTATATGAGGGAACCTTATCCCGAAGAAAAGGGGGGGTAAGGGACCCGAAGAGTAATCTAGCAATACAAGGGGTGCCCTTTTGGTATATAAGGGAACCTTATCCCGAAGAAAAGGGGGATAAGGGCCTAAACCCTAAACCCAATACAACCTGAACCTTCTTTCGTTACACAAATTTGTGTAACGAAAAATTTGTGTTACCAATTAATTGGTTTATGGCCGGTTTGGGAAAAGTAGCCGGATTGAAGGAAAAGTGGCCGAACACTGGGAGCTTAGAAATATAGCACCATATAACTATGGAAGCTTTCGGATCATGAGCTATAGTAGGGCTTGGCCACCTGTCCTAGGCTGGCCTAGGCCTCTTATCAGCTCAAGGGTTTGAGGTTGGGGTTTGGGTTTCCTCGATCGGGTGTAGGGCTCCTACTTACAGGTTTCGAACTTGCATGATAAGGAGGGCTTTATAGTTCAGGTTCCATGCAAGATTGCAATATGAGGCTGACACTGAAGAATGCTTAGGCCTACAGGGTTTCTATAAGACTTCGCTTTCGGGCTCTGTCGGGGTGTAGGGTTCGTATATAGGTTTGTCAGGGCTCCCAGGTTTAGAGTTCTTGAGCCATTCGGGTTCCTAGGGCTGTATGGGGTTAAGGGTATGCACACACACACACACACCCAGACACGCGTGCGCACACAAGCTCTTTCCTGGACAGCGGCTTCCTCTTCGAGTCTTCTGCCCGGCGCTTAGCACAGGCGGAACTGCTGGGCCCACTCCCGTCGGTAATATGTCAAGGATTTCTGGAGCGTCCTGATAACCGTCGTCATTGCATGGCACCGCCTACTAATTCTGGCAATACGCCCCACGAAATCTTCGTCGGACCAAGTGCACCAGCCTTATTACACTGCACGATGGATGCTCATGATTGAATCCTGGGATGATGCTCCAACATCATATACTGCAAGTGCCAAGTAGCACAACGGGTTTTGGATTGCAAGCGCACCAGAGTCGAATTGTCTTTGCAGCTCCCATCTTAGGTCTGACGTACACAGGGTTGATATAATGTGGGTTGAGTAGCCCCTCTTTCCCCTATACCCCGCACTGCAAATATAAAAACCTACCCGGCCTATTGCTGCTAAACCCTAAACCCCCCTAACCGAAAACAAACCCTAAACAAAAAATGTTAACGATAGGGCCTGGTGGATACAAGTTGCATGATCTCCCCTTGCATGTGTACTTTGGGTCTGATTCGAAATAGTGGCCACCCAGCCTCCGAACACTGTCGCGCCAATGCACTGTACCCAGCCTTACATAAATTATGCGCAATGGGTTTGGTCGAGTTCTCATTGTTGACACTTTATACGAATATTTGGGCAGCCATCTATCTTAATAAGTATATATACTAGGAACCTCTAGACGAACCATTCTCTTGAGAACTGACATCGAGCTTAAACCCTAAACCCTAAACCCTAAACCCTAAACCCTAAACCCTAAACCCTAAACCCGGCCTAAACCCTAAACCCTAAACCTAAACCCTAAACCCTATATAAACCCTGTATATAAACCCTAAACCCTATAAACCCTAAACCCTATATAAACCCTAAACCCTATATAAACCCTAAACCCTATAAACCCTAAACCCTACACCTGCCCAGGGTCAAGTGCTTTCCATCCACTCTCGACTGCCAGTGAGGCCTGGTCCCGAGTCATGAACACACCTGTGGCATACAGTGTCCGGAAGTGGTAGCCACAGCACTCCAAAGTCCATCGTAGCAGTCTGAACATTTGGAGATGCTCCGGGGCCTGGGGTTTGGTGCCTATAGGGTTTGAGGGCACAGATCGAGGTTTCCAGCTTCAAGGGTTTAGGGTTTAGGGTTTAGGGTTTGGGGTTTGGGGTTTAGGGTTTATAGGGTTTAGGGTTTAGGGTTTAGGGTTTAGGGTTTAGGGTTTAGGGTTTAGGGTTTAGGGTCATGGAACTGAGCCCAAGCGACAAGAGAATCTTCCAGAACACGGGACGTTACCTCCTCCAGCCACGCGTTCATGACACCACAGTCATGTCCTTTCCCGCATCCTGTTGGGTACTCCTTCAGCCTTAGGATGTCCAGCCCTAGGCCTTAAATAGGCCTAAAACCCTACAATCACCTACTTGGAGGTTCACGGTTACTAACTTACATATTTACAGGACTTAGGGAGCTATACGAGTACAGTTATACTTGGTGACTTGGGGGCTACAAGTACCGTGATAACCTTAAACCCTGAAACCCTAAGCCCTGAAGCCTGAACCCTGTCAGGGAACCAAACACCCCTCCCCCCTCTAAGGTACGTGTGGCGAAGCTTGTGATTCAAGAGGTGGTGAGGGAGGCCGGGGACTTCGAGGGGGGGTTAGGGTGTACTTGGAGGTTCATGCACTTAGAAGCCCCCAATGGTTACTTTAAGCACCATGAACCTCCAAGTATTAATTGGATCGATAATATATACTGCCCAGTCCCTTCAAAGCACATGAGCGTCCTTCACCCTTTCGGCATTATCCTACAAGTGCAGACCACCGTGAAGCCATCAAACCTGATGTTGCGCACACGAATGCAATTGGAGGATGGGGCAAAGATACTTCGGGGAACACCCCATAACAACAACCCGGCACCACTTGTTTCTGCGATCCATACACCCCCCCCACCCCCCCCCTACCCCCCCCCCCCTACCCCCCCCCTTACACCCCCCCCTACCCCCTCCCCCGGCGTAACAACCCAGGCTCGTCTCCACCTTCAACGTCTGCAGACTGAAATTCGTAATGGATGTCGACTTGCCAGATCGATGACAGTAATCTCGGTAATCTATGTATGCCTGGTCGAGGGAAGCCTGCAGTGAGCGACCTCTGAAAACATGGAGTCTGTATAGTAATATCAGCCCGCTTGCACAGAGGTCTTTGCCCCATCCTCCAATTGCATACGTGTGCGCAACGTCCGGTTTGATGGCTTCACGGTGGTCTGCAATTGTAGGATAATGCCGTAAGGGTGACGGACGTTCGTGTGCTTTGAAGGGACTGGGCAGAACTTTGGCATGGTTGCGATCATAAGCAGCTTTGCTGAAATCGAACCAGTCCTCCTGTTAACAGCTGACGCGGGCAACTGGCTCAGACTATCGATCTATAGCTTTAAAGCACACAAGAAGTATGCCAAAAAGACTTGCTGAATCGGTGCAAGGAGGGCACGCTGCTCATGCAAAGGTGACACTTCTCTTTGGATGTGAACCCAGCGACCAATTTCATGGATTTGCGTAGGAAGGGCCAGTCACCCTTCACAGCTAGCAAGACGAGCCGGAACCGGGCCGGGGCATTCTTGACTTGAACCTCGATCTATATATGTACAATACCCCTAGATGATCTTACAAGCCTCCACAGCAGCACCTATATATTGCAGTGCCTTACAATATGAAAGGTAAGTGGCTTCCAGCCCATCCTCATACATCCTGGTCAGGTCGGCGACCATGTCATCCAACAACGTGTCCAAGGTGAGATCGCCGCAGTAAAGTTCGGAGGGGATCACACTGTACAACATTCGGGTTGTCAGTGAGTGCCTGCCATAGACTTCGGGTATTGGACTTGGGATTATAAGATATTAAGGCAAATATTAAGCCTAGGTACCCACTGGTGTTGACATAGTTCGGCCCCTTTGGTCCGATGATCGGTTGGACGGATAGGATCATAATTGGCCTCCGGCATTTCCCTCTGCCTTCATCCCCGTGAACACACAGTGGCACGCACCTGTGAAACAGCTCGCACTCCGGGTGGAGGGCCTGATAGTCTTTCCAAAATTTGAGGAACATGGAGCGGTATGCACCCTCTTCATCAATAAGAGAGTGCCCCCCTAGGAAGGCCTCCCCCCCCACATTCAAGGAATACTCCAGCCACGCAGAGGGCTTGATGACAGGAAATGGCATGTCGGTCTTGCCGGGCCTGCCTTTGGAAACAATGCGAACTGGCACAGTGACCGACTGAACTTGCACAGGGAGAGTGCGCCCTTGCCGTTGAATAAGTCGATGTAGGCTACGAGAAGCATTTGTACCAACAGTGTTGCCAGCACCGCACGCTGCCAGAGCTTTCAAAATAGGATCTACGGCGCATCCTTACCACTATGAAGGGCGCACCCCTTTTGAAACCGAGTACCATAAATATCAACTTTAAACCCTAAACCCAAAAACCCTAAACAAAAGCCCGGGCCTAAGCCCTAAACCCTAAACCCTACCAAACCCTGAACCCTAAAACCCCTAAACCCTAAATAAGCCCTAAACCCTAAACCCTAGGCCCCGACCCCCAAGATCGATATAGATAAGAAACCATGTTTCTGCATCTTGCGTGCAGCCACTTGCGCAAGACGAACAACACGTTCCGCACTCTCTGCCTTTGGTGCTGAAATCTAAGACACGCCCACTACATATATAGCCTTGTAAGAGCTGCAAGCAAGCTACACCTCTTTCAAAGCCTACAAAAAGCTCATCCGCCAGATCATCGTCTTCATCTTCTTCGCTCGTGTGGCCTGGAATCAGGCACTATAGGGTTTAGGGTTGATAGGGTTTAGTGTGCAGGCCTAGGGTTTATATAATAGGGCTTAGGGTTTAGGCCGGGTTTAGGGTTTAGGGTTTAGGGTTAGGCGAGAGCACCCTAAACCTTCTACCCCAGACCCGACCATATATACGCAAGCCCTCTAAACCTTCCATAAACCCTGCATGCTATGCCACTCCAACACAAACCGCCGAACCGGCCTAACACCTAAAGACCTGACCCTGAACCCTATAAGTCCTTTCCCGCCTGATTAGTGCTTGCGGCCTTCAGTTCCTGGTTCTCTCAACTTCACAGCACTTCAGGAAGTCGACCTAGCCTGCTTCTTGAGATCTTCTCTGTCGTCCCGCTTCTTCAAGTAGATCTGCACATGCGAGGCTTCATGGGCTTAAGAGGATAGGGCAAACCCTCAGATGTACTTGCATGTAGTTGAATGAACTGGATTTCTCGCCCATCCCCACGTCGATGAAACTGAAGCGCACTGAAGCGCCAGAGCAGCTTTGTCGAGACTGCACTTTTGCAGCCGCAAATTAGGTAAAGCACAGCAACACAGGTCCCGGCCCGACCACGTATGCTAGCTATGGTAGGCGTCTAGAGGTGTGCACCCTAAAGATATAGCAGTGTTGCGAGGCTTCAAAGCGAAAAGAGGCATTGCGATGCCTGGCACAAACGACCATCCACATCAGCTGCCTTTGGCAGCCTTTCCTGGCTTTCCCTTTGGCTTGCGGGGGCTAGCCTTCACGGCTGGCTTCTTGGGGCTCACAGTTTTTTTTGGCTTCTTGGTGGTCTTCGGCTTCGAACCACCCTTCACAGACGCGGCCGCGGTAGACCTCACTGACCTTATACATACAGAGCCCTGTCCCGTCAGTCATCCACACGGGTCGAGAAACACAGAGACACTCAGACAGACACGGAGACACACAGCGAGACACAGAGCCAGGCGTCTTTGCGCGCACCACATAATTGTTCAGTATCAAGTCCTGCTTCGTCACGTCGGCATAGGATCTCAGCAGGGCATCAAGGAATGGCCTGGGCACAGTTGTTGGCCGGGTTGTCATTTTTTTAAGGGTTTATAGGGTTTAGAAGGTTTATAGGGTTTATAGGGCTTATAGGGTTTATAGGGTTTATATATATATATATATATGGGTTTATAGGGTTTAGGGTTTAGGGTCTTGCACAAGTGGCTGCGCACAAAGGGTTTAGGGCTTAGGGCTTATAGGGTTGTAGGGTTTCGGGTTTCGGGTTGATATGGTTTAGGGTTTAAGACCGAACCGTGTACCCGTTTCGCAAGGCCTGGGGCCCTTCGTACTCTTCTGGATCTACTTCAGCAAGCCCGAGATGCTCAGAGGCCGGCGCTAAGGCCGCGGGTTAATAAGGGTATAGGCTCTAGGCTTTCTAGCGCTTTGGGTTTTAGCCCAAAACACCCAACCCCAACACTTATATAACCCCTAAAGTCTCAGGGAGGCGCTTCGGGTTGTGGATTGAACCTTATAATCGCGCAGGGCCTGGGCCCTGCTTGCTCAGTTTATAGAGGCTTTAGGGTTTAGGGCTTCGGGTTACATAGGTCAGCTTGTGGGCTCTTGGGCTCGAAAAATATAAGATCGATATGTTTGTCTACATATTTTCGGGACTTGTCTTTCGGGCTACCTAAACCCTAAACCCTAACCCTAAACCCTAAACCCTAAACCCTAAACCCTAAACCCTATAAACCCTAAACCCTTAACCCTTAACCCTTAACCCTTAAACCCTTAAACCCTTAAACCCTAAACCCTTAAACCCTTAAACCCTAAACCCTAAACCCTTAAACCCTAAACCCTTAAACCCTAAAAC